TCAACAGGGCAAGACCTGAGTAATTGGTTGCCTGCTTTAGACATAAGACATGTCTGAACACTTGGTGAGTCCCTTGAGCACATTCTGGAGAAGCATTTCAGTCATGTTGGAAGTTCAACTTGGCAGATGTCAAGATTTAGGCTGTGATGCCAGCATCTCACTCAATCACTAGCTACTTCTGAGTCATATCTTGGAGTTGGTTGCCAGCTGGCTTGACATGATAGGATTCCGATCCAGACAGCTGCAGCTCGACTCGTGGAGACATCCAAACCAAAGCAAAAACTGAGTTTGGAGAAAAAAATCATTTTTTTTTCTCCTTCTGAGGGAATAACCAAGTTGGAAGGGACCTTGGAGGTCTTCTAGTCCAACCCCCTGCTCCGGCAGGAAGTCCTAAACCATTTCAGACAAATGGTTGTTCAATCTCTTCTTTAAAACCTCCAATAAATCAAATTTAAAAAAAAATATTGGAGCAACCCAACTTCTGGAGGCAAGTCGTTCCACTAGTTAATTGTTCTCACTGTCAGGAAATTTCTCTTTAGTTCTAGGTTGCTTCTCTCCTTGATTAGTTTCCATCCATTGCTTCTTGTCCTGCCTTCAGGTGCTTTGGAAAATAGCTTGACCCCCTCTTCTTTGTGGCAGCCCCTCAAACATTGGAAGCAATAGCAAAGGCACTTAGACTTATATGCTGCTTCACAGTGCTTTACAGCTCTTTCTAAGCGGTTTACAGAGTCAGCCTATTGCCCCAACAATCTGGGTCCTCATTTCACTCACCTCGGAAGGATAAGTCAACCTTGAGCCCGTGAGAATTGAACTGCCAAACTGCTGGTTAATTCTCTCCTTGATTAGTTTCCATCCATTGCTTCTTGTCCTGCCTTCAGGTGCTTGGGAAAATAGCTTGACCCGTTCTTCTTTGTGTCATGAAGCTATTGGATCTTTGATTGATTTGCTTCTGAGGGTTGACTGAAAACACTATCAGGTTTGGAAGGATAGATGACAAGGGTTGAAGAGGAGTTCCATAAGGCACCCACAATGTACAACGGACACACAAGTGAATGATGTTGTAAACCAGGCATGAATTTACCGCCAGCTCAGTGGAGAATCTGTGATGTTCTTCCTTTAGGGCGTTCTGCCACCTAGTGGCTGTCTAGGTAAACACAGCCCAAATGAATGACAGATAGTCCTTGATTTACAACAGTTCGCTTAGAAGTAAGAGAATAACAGAGTTGGAAGGAACATTGGAGATCTTCTAGTCCAACCCTCTGCACAACTAACTAACTAACCCAGGTCTCCAACACAGTGTAGAAGAATAGAATAGAATAGAATAGAATAGAATAGAATAGAATAGAATAGAATAGAATAGAAATAGAATAGAATAGAATAGAATAGAATAGAATAGAATAGAATAGAATTCTTTATTGGCCAAGTGTAATTGGACACAAAAGGAATTTGTCTTTGGTGCATACGCTCTCAGTGTACATTTCATTTCATTGTTCATTTATTTAAATTTATATACCGCCCTTCTCCCAAAGGACTCAGGGCGGTGTACAGCCAAAGATAAAAACATAAAAACATAAAATTTAAAACAATTTAAAAGTAAATTAAACAAATTTGGCCCATATTTAATTTAAAAAATCCCATTTTTAAAAGAAGAATCGAAAACAATTAAAAGAGCTATGCCAGCCCAGCTTGCTGGAATAGAAAAGTTTTGAGAGCACGGCGGAAGGTGCATAAATCCGGGATCCTTCGTATCTCCGGGGGCAGTTCGTTCCAAAGGGCAGGTGCCCCCACAGAGAAGGCTCTCCCCCTTCATAAAAAGAAAAGATACGTTCATCAAGAATCATAAGATACAAGACTTAGTGATAGTCACAGGGTACAAATAAGCAATCAAATCATACTAGAAAACAATCAATATAAATCGTAAGGATACAAGCAACAAAATTACAGTCATACAGTCATAAGCGGAAGGAGATGGATGATGGGAACGATGAGAAGATTAATAGTAGTGCAAACTTAGTAAATAGTTTGACAGTGTTGAGGGAATTAGTTGTTTAGCAGAGTGACGGTGTTAGGGAAAAAACTGTCCTTGTGTCTAATTGTTCTGGTGTGCAGTGCTCTATAGCGTCGTATTGAGGGTAGAAGTTGAAACAGTTTATGTCTAGGATGAGAGGGGTCTGTAGATATTTTCATGGCTCTCTTTTTGACTTGTGCAGTATTCAGGGTTAAGTCAAGCGCTCCCAGTGATGCATCCAATTTAGCCCTTGCCTTGCCAATTTTCTCCGGCTTCTGTATTAACCCAGTTTCTTCTCGGTCTGGGCTACTGGGAGGGAAGCTATCTGCCCTAGCTTTAAACCACTGCAAACTTGGAGGGTGTCCTTTGGATGTCCTCTTCAGCTGCAGAGAACCAGTTAGGATTAAAAAAAAAAAAAAAGCTTCATTCCACCAAAGTCCGACTGCACGGAAAGAGGTCACGTGCAGAGTTCAAATTCCAGCTAGGTTGGCCAAATGCAGATTTGACAAGAAGGTGCTTTCAGAGGAAATCAGCAATATTTGGGCCAAATACATGATGAGCCAGATCCAAGTGGATTCATCCATTACTGTACTGCCAGACAGCATTTGTTGAGCCCTTGTTGAATAATTCGCAATGGGGGGTGGATTTGCACACAAGATGAAGCCACAAAACAAGAACACACTTATTTCGAGTGACAAATAAACAACTCCGCATGTTGAATCAAAATCTTGGCATGAAAATTTCACATCTGTCCTTTTGGGGATGTTGCCGTAGCCTAAAATGTAATCCTTGGAGTGTTCTGCTTTTGCCATAAACCATGATTTCCAAATCATGGTTTATATAGGGTCTCCTGCTTGAGCGGGGGGTTGGACTAGATGACCTATAAGATCCCTTCCAACTCTGTTAATCTATATCTGTATCAGTTTCATCCATTGGACTATGCCTCAAGTTAGTTTGTAGATAATATGGGCTATAAGTTCAATTTCAGTGACTCACCAAGCAAGTTTTACCTTGACTCCATAAACCATGTTTCAACCATGTTAAAGTAAACCGTGTGAAGTCAATCCCAAGTCTCAGGACATGGGTTAACGTCTTGCTGTCATAGAGAAGAGCTTACCTCCAAACCATGGGTGCTATTCAGCAGGTTCTGACAGGTTCTGGAGAACCGGTAGTGGAAATTTTGAGTAGTTCAGAGAACCAGTAAATACCACCTCTGACTGGTCCCAGAGTGGCATGGGAATGGAGATTTTGCAATATCCTTCCCCCAGGAATGGGGAGAGAATGGGGATTTGGCAGTATCCTTCCCCTGGAGTGGGAAAGGAATGGGGATTTTGCAGTATCCTTCCCCTGGAGTGGGTTTGGAATGGAGATTTTGCAGTAGCCTTTCCCCAGGAGTAGGGAGGGAATGGGGATTTTGCAGTATCCTTCCCCAAGGAGTGGGGAGGGAATGGGGATTTTGCAGTATCCTTCCCCTGGAGTGGGTTTGGAATGTAGATTTTGCAGTAGCCTTTCCCCAGGAGTGGTGTGGGAATGGAGATTTTGCAGTATCCTTCCCCAAGGAGTGGGGAGGGAATGGGGATTTTGCAGTATCCTTCCCCTGGAGTGGAGTGGGAATGGGGATTTTGCAGTACCCTTCCCCCAGGAGTGGGGTGGGAATGGAGATTTTGCAGTATCCTTCCCCTGCCATGCCCACCAAACCACACCACCCCCACCAAGTCATGCCCACAAAACTGGTAGTAAAAAAATCTGAATCCCACCACTGCTCCAGTCATTGGGAGAAGCTGGGCTAGCTACAACATCTTTAGCAAACAGGTTCCTATGTATCAAAAAACAAATGTGAGAGATTTGTTAAATTCATATCTTGCCTTACTTCTAGGAATTTAAGGGAGTTTTCACAGTCCATTTAAAGGAGAACCGCCACCCAGTGAGAAGACTGGGCGGAGAGAGAGAAAAATACCATTCATTCAGTGACCGTAGGGAGTTACATCATCATTGAAAAAAGTGATTTATGGTTTACACTCATGACCATTGCAGTGTCCCCATAGTCACATGATCAGAATGTGGATGTTTGGCAACTGACTCATCTTTATGACAGTTGCCATGTCCCGGCGGGTCATGTGATCACCGTTTGCGACTTTTTGACGAGCAAAGTCAGTGGAGAAGCACAGATTCAATTTACAGCTGTGTTACTAACTTAACGATTGCATTTATTCCAGTGGTGAAATGTGAAATTTGTTACTACCGGTTCTTTGGGCGTGGCTTGGTGGTGGTGGTGGGTAATGTGACTGGGTGGCTGGTAGGGGAGGGCGAGGGGGCGGGGCCAGCCAGTGGTGGGATCACCTGACAGGGAACTCCGGATGTGGCTCCGGAGCCACAGGTTGCTGACCCCTGACCTATCCAATGTGTGCAAGGTGACAACAGAGACGACAAAGCTGGCAACGATGAGTAAGAAAGATGATTAGAGGTCTGAAGGATAAACACATGACGAACGATGGCAGGAATGTTGTGGGTAGGTCTCTAGTCTAAGAAAAACCAGGGGTGACCCGATACCAGGGTTCCAATATCTCAGGGGCTGCCACAAAGAGGAGGGGGTCAACCTGTTCCCCAAAGCACCTGAAGGCCGGACAAGAAGCAACGGATGGAAACTGATCAAGGAGGGAAGCAATCTAGAACTAAGGAGGAGTTTCCTAACACTGAAGACAATTAACCAATGGAACTCCTTGCCACCAGAAGTTGTGAATGCTCCAACACTGGAGGTTTTTAAGAAGAGATTGGACAACCATTTGTCTGAAATGTGTAGGGTCTCCTGCTTGAGCAAGGGGTTAGACTAGAAGACCTCCAAGGTCCCTTCCAACTCTGTTATTTTGTTATTCTGAAGCCATTATCAAGAGACTTGGCCCTTTGCACAGCCCCCTGACCCGTGGCCTCACCTGCATTGCTGGGCAAATATTTGCGTTTGCCCAAACAAGGTTCGACTTGCTAAAGAGCCTGCAAAACACTACACAACCGAGAGGATTTGTGGTTTGCCTTTTTCGCACAAGAACACCCCTCACACAATCCGTTGAACTTGGATCTATAGCGGGGGGAAAAAAAATCCACCCTCAGTTCTGTACGGTGTGGAATCGGACCTATTACATTTTTTTCCTGTTCTCTGGAAGGCGAAGGGAAAGAAAATGAAGTTTCTTGTTGCTTGTTTTGTGGCGCTGCAGCTGTTGATTGTGACGGAAATCCAGAGTTTTGACTTTGTTGTGGAAGAAGACTCGGAGGTAAGAGTTTTTAATCCTGGGCAATCAACCTTGTTTCTACAGGGAGTTGAAGCTAACGCAGTCAGCTAAATGAAGATTGAACTGTCTTTATTATTCCTCCTCCTGCCTGATCTTTTTTTTTTTTTAATTTGATTTATATGCCGCCCTTCTCCGGAGACTCAGTGCGGCTTACAATGCGTTAAGCAATAGCCTTCATCCTTTTGTATATTTATACAAAGTCAGCTTATTGCCCCCATAAACTGGGTCCTCAATTTACCTTAGAAAGGATGGAAGGCTGAGTTGACCTTGAGCCTGGTGAGATTTGAACTCACAGTAATTGTAGGCAGCTGGATGTTAAATGCTGCCTTAGGAGGCATTAGCCTCCTACGCCACTCAGGCTCCTGAGTGGCGTAGCTTCTTGTAGAAACTATCCCCATATAACTTTCAATCCTAATATTAATTAATAGAAATATTCATGTACGAGAAGAGATCCATGTCTTCTAAGAAGGAAGCCCTACAATACAGGTAGTCAACTGACAACCACAACTGAACCCAAAATGTATTTCTGTTGCGACATAGTTGTTAAGCGAGTTTTGCCCGATTTTCGCGACCTTTCTTGCCACAGTTGTTAAGTGAGCCACTGCAGTTGTTAAGCCAGTCACGTGGTCGTGTTAAGTGAATCAGGCATCCCCATTGTTTGCCAGAAGCCAGCTGGGCAGGTTGCAAATGGCGATTAGATGACAGCTGGACGTTGTAACGCTTGTAAATGTGGATTGGTTGCCAAGTGTCCAAATGTTGATCCTGTGACAGTGGGAAATGTTGGTTCTAAATGTGAGTCATAAATCTCTTTTTGTCTGTGTGCACTTGTTGTTTTTTTTAAATTTTTATTTATTTCTTTACAAACAAAGTATTTATTCACATACAGATCGCGACGGGAGCTTTACACAATATATTAACTGTGTGCAATTGTAACTTCCAATGGTCATTAAGTGAAAATTGAGGATTACATCAGGGGTGAAATGCTCCCGGTTTGGACCGGATCGCCTGATCCGGTAGCGATGTGGTGGCAGGTGGTTCGGAGAACCAGTAGCAAAAATCCCTGCGCCCCCCTTTTAAAAGCATTTTTTCTACAACCTCTTCCGACGAAAAAATGCTTTTAAAAGTAAAAAAAAAAAGCCTCTGATGATCGCGCGGCTCAGCTGGGATCGTCAGAGGCTTTTCAAAGCATTTTTTTCTGCAACCTCTTGGCCAAAGAGGTGGTAAAAAAAATGCTTTGAAAAGTCTCTGACGATCCCAGCTGAGTTGCCTGATCGGCAGAGGCTTTTCAAAGCATTAGAAAAAATGCTTTCAAAAGTTAAAAAAAAAAAAGTTGGCCATGCTCACCCAGTCACATTAACCCCCCCCCACCAAGCCACGCCCACAGAACCGGTAGTAACAAATTTTACATTTCATCCCTGGATTACATGTATACAGTACAAGTTTTTTAAATACACCATGGTTTTATTTAAGAGGTGAATCAAGTCAATATCCCATTGCAAATATATTGTGGAATATAATTTATTGTAGGGTTTTGCTGGTTACACCGTGCATAGAGCAATCAGCTGACTAAATAGGACAACTGGTGCAAGATGGGGGTTGTTGCTCTGGCTTTCGGCAATGGCAGAACTGTTGGACTGGATGATCTCGGAGGTCCCTCCCAGGTCTTATATTCCGTTCTGGAAACCTGCTGTAAGGTCCCAAAATACACTTGAGTCACCAGAATGCCAAAGAGAGAGACTCAAGACGAGGCTTGCAAAAAAAAACAGATTTTATTTATGGCCAAAAACAAAATACTGGGTGGAACTATATCCAGAACATACAGATACAATGTATGCGAGGAAATAGCCACACCTTGGGGAAGGTATGGCGTCTTTTTATACCCTCAGAGACGTCAGCTTAGTACCCAATTCTGGCCTCCTAATTTAGGTTTGTGTATTCCTTGTTGCCCTGCAAGGGGGAATAGAAACTTCCCAATTAGTCATCTTAAGCATTTCTTTGTTTACTCAATTGGCCACTTTGGCCCCTGGCTCTGGAAGACCCAGGAGTTTATCCAGATCAAACATAAATTAGGGCTGAGGTGTAAATTATCCCTTGGAGATACGTACCATGCTCTTAGATGGCACAAGAAAAAACAGGGAGAAGATTTTTTTTTTTTTTAATTTGATTTATATGCTGCCCTTCTCCAAAGACTCAGGGCGGCTTACAATGTGCTCAGCAATAGCCTTCATCCTTTTGTATATTTATACAAAGTCAGCTTATTGCCCCCACAAACTGGGTCCTCATTTCACCTACCTTAGAAAGGATGGAAGGCTGAGTCAACCTTGAGCCTTGGCGAGATTCGAACCCTGCAGTAATTGCAGGCAGCTGGTCTTAATAAGCTTAATAACAGGGTGCCTTAAACCCCTGTAGTACCAAGGCTCTTTTTTTTTTTTTTGATATGAAGATTGATATGGGTTCAGGTCAAATGGCAGGGACATATGTTTGACAAATACCAGATACATTACAGAGGCCTAATAACAGAATATGTTTGTTACAGGAGATACAAATAGAAAGGAATAATATGTATTACAGGAACCTAATGGTTACAGAATCTAGGATACCAGTATATCATATTCTAATATTATTTATTATATCCTTATTATTGTTTCTCTTCAATGCTAAACCACGCACATACACGCAAAACCCCATCCGAGTGAGGTTAACAGTAACCAAGCTTCACACGATTTACTACAGAGTTCTACAGAGGAATTGTCGAGTCTGTCATCTGTACTTCTATATATGTCTGGTTTGATCCAGCAACAAAACAGGCAGACACAGATACTTCAACGGATAGTTAGGACTGCAGAAAAAGCTATTGCAAGCAGCCTGCCATCCATTGAGGACCTGTATATTGCTTAATTAGAAAGAGGGCTGAGAAAATATCTACAGACTCCTCGCATCCTGGACATAAAACAGTTTCAACTCCTCCCTTTGGGACACCACTACAGGGCATTGCATACCAAAACAACTAGACACAGGGACAATTGTTTCCCTCATGCCATCACAAATGCTGGACACTTACGGCAATTCCCCACATCACTGTCTTGTGTCTAAGCATATTTACCCAGGCGGTAGGGCTGTATTACTATTAGTCTCCTCACCTTTCCTATGACCTACTCCTATTGGTAAATTATTACGATTATTGTTTCTTTGTTGTTTTGCACATTCATGGAGAGCTTCTGTACCAGAGATAAATTCCTTGTGTGTCTAAACACACTTGACCAGATATTCTATTCTATTCTATTCTATTCTATTCTATTCTATTCTATTCTAGTCCATCCCATCCCATCCCATCCCATCCCATCCCTATTGCATCTTTTATGTTTTTACCCGACCTGGTTAATGTCTCCCTGAAAATGTGTGTCCAGTCATTTATCACTGCCAGGCTCAGTGGATGTTTTTCCACCTACCGATGATGTGAGAAAGAAAGAGAGAGCTAAATTGGAGAGCTTAATTAGTACCTTTGCTTAACACACTTTGCATACCCCAAAATCAGGACACCTTTTTTTTTATTTCTTTCTTTTTTAAAAATTTGATTTATATACCGCCCTTCTCCGGAGACTCAGGGCAGTTTACAATGCGTTAAGCAATAGCCTTCATACTTTTGTATATTTTATACAAAGTCGGCTTATTGCCCCCACAAACTGGGTCCTCAATTTACCTACCTTAGAAAGGATGGAAGGCTGAGTCAACCTTGAGCCTTGGCGAGATTCGAACCTGCAGTAATTGCAGGTAGCTGATCTTAATAACAGGGTGCCTTAGACCACTGTACTACCAAGGCACTGTACTACCAAGGACCTTAATCTGGCCTCAAACCTGCACAGAGACCAAGAGAGTCAAGATAGGGATCAGCAAGATCAAGATCACAAAAAGTGTTAGTACCACTTTATAAGGCCTGGGGAAGACCACATTTAGAATGTTATATCCAGTTTTGGTTGCCATGATATAAAAAAGATGTTGAAACTCTGGAAAGAGTGCAGAGAAGAGCAGCTAAGAACAATTAGGGGATTGGAAGTTAAAATGTACAACGTACAATTTCAGAAGCTGGGTATGTCGTGTCTACCAAAGACTGTAACAGAATAACAGAGTTGGAAGGGATCTTGGAGGTCTTCTAGTCCAACCCCTTGCTCAAGTAGGAGACCCTATAGTCATTCTGGACAAATGACTGCCCAATCTCTTCTTATTAACCTCCAGGGATAAGAGCAGCCACAACTTCTGAAGGCAAACCATCCAAAGGCAAGATAAACAAATATTGTATGTTATACAAAACCTTTGCTAGACCAATTCTCGAATACAACTCATCTGTCTGGAACCCGCACTGCATATCGGACATTAATACCGTGTTTCCCCGAAAATAAGACCCTGTCTTATATTTTTTTTGAACCCTGAAATAAGCGCTTGGCCTTATTGCCATGCGCTCAAAAACCCAATTGGGCTTATTATCAGGGGATGTCTTATTTTGGGGGGAAGCAGGGTACAATTGAGAGAGTCCAGAGATATTTCACGAGAAGAGTCCTCCGTTCCTCTACCCGCAATAAAATACCTTATGCCACCAGACTTGAAATTTTGGGCTTAGACAACTTAGAACTACGCTGACTTCAGTCTGACCTAAGCATAGTACATCAAATTACACAATGTCCTTCCTCTCAACAACTACTTCAGCTTCAACCACAATACACGAGCAAATAATAGATACAAACTCAAGGTAAACCCCTCCAAACTCGATTGCAGAAAATATGACTTCAGTAACAGAGTGGTCAATGCCTGGAATGTACTACCTGACTCTGTAGTTTCTTCCCCAAACCCCCAAAACTTTAACCTCAAACTGTCTACTGTTGACCTCACCCCATTCCTAAGAGGTCTGTAAGGGGCGTGCATAAGAGCACCAGCGTGCCTACCGTCCTTGTCCTAATATCCTTTTTTACTCATATCCTTTTCATGTATTCAAATTATGTTTATACTTTTATCTGTTATATATATTTGACAAATAAATAAATAAAATTAAAATAAATGTTGTGCTCTAAACACACAGCCCTTAATCATTCTGAATTGCTCCGAATAATGGATGGGACATTTGTTTTCAATTTGATTTGATAATCCTGTGTGTGTGGCTTCCTTTTTCTGATCTTCTCTGTGGTTTTCCTTCCAGAAACTGGCAGAACTGTTTGACTGGGAGACCAGGGGCTTCATCTTAAGCCCCCAGCTGCGAAGGAGCAGATTTCAGGTACTGATGATTTACTTTATAGTTTTGCAAACAGAACAGCCACCTGCCTTCCCCCAAATGTCAGCTTCTGCAGCATTCCTGTAAAATAAAAAGTGGCACATGGAATTAGACCAATGCGTTGCTTGGAAAGTGGTCCTAGCAATCTAGGTAGTCCTTGTCAGAGGTGGGTTTCAGCAGGTTCTGACCTGTTCTGGAGAACCGGTAGTGAAAATGTTGAGTAGTTTGGAGAACCGGTCGTAAAAATTCTGACTGGCCCTGCCCCCCCCCATCTATTCTGTGCCTCCCAAGTCCCAGCTGATCGGGAGGAAATGTGGATTTTGCAGTAACCTTCCCCTGGGTTGGGGAGGGAATGGAGGTTTTGCAGTAACCTTCCCCCGGAGTGGGGTGGGAATGGAGATTTTACGTACTTTCTTGCCACTTCTTGTTAAGTGATTCACTGCAGTTGTTAAGTTTGTAGCACGGTTGTTAAGTGAATCTGGCTTCCCCCTTGACTTTGCTTGTCAGAAGGTCACAAGAGGTGATTACATGACCCCAGGGCAGTGAAACAGTCCTAAAGACATGCCAGTTGCCAAGCATCTGAGTTTTGATCCCGTGACTATAGGGCTGCTGCAACGGTCGTAAGTGTGAAAACCGGTCATAAGTCACTTTTTCCAGTGCCATTGTACAGCATCGAACGGTCACTAAATGAATTGTTGTAAATTGAGGATGACATGTTCACTGGGAGGGGGAGGGGAATTGAGGGAGGTGTGGATAGCAACCACATTCGTTTTTCTTTGATAAGAAGGGAAAATTTTCCTGAATCAAACTTAACTCCTAGGAACTGTATGGACACATCATTTTCCTGGCAACAGTCAGAAAGTCTGGAGGTCTTGATGCTCTCTGAGCTTGGTGGTTGTGTTGTGGCCCGTCAGTGGCCTATGCAGATTGTAGCTGATTCCGACAGCGAGGAGGCTGGTGTGCTGCTGCGCCAGCAGCCTGTGCAGCTGGCACTCGAGTCGGACAGTGAGGAGGCTGGAGAAGATGTGGTGCCAAAGGCAGGGATTCAGCCAGGGCCTTCAGAACCTCCAGAAGCTCCCTTAAGTGAAGAGGACGAAGAGGAGGAGCCTCTTCTCGATGCACGGGTGCGCAGAACTGCCAAAAGGCAGGAGTGGCTCCTCAGGAGGAGGTCTCCTCGAGAGTAAGGCTTGGGGCTAATTGGCCACTCCCTTAGCATATATAAGGAGGAACGCCGACTGAAGCAATTTGTAGGGAACAACTTTAGTTCATTCTCCACGTCTGGATTCTCTGCAAATTGCTTCTGGGCTTTCTGCCAACCTTAGTAAGATTGTGATTACTTTATCTTTGGTTTCTTTCTTCCTTTGTTTGGAAAAGACTGAGTTATTTTAGTAACACAGTTGTTAAGTGAATCTGGCTTCTCCATTGAGTTTCCTCATCTGACAGTTGCAAAAGGGGATCACACATAACCTTGGGACACTGCAGCCGTCATTAATATAAACCAGTTGTCAAGCATTCATTCCCTGGTGACCACAGGGAAGCTGCCTGTCGTAAGTGTGAAAAATAGTCCTAAGTCACTTTTTTCAGTGCTGTTGTAACTTTGAACGGTCACTAAACGAACTGTTATAAGTCGAGGACTACCTGTACATATCTGAGAGAGCGAAAAATAGTTTACAGGTTCAATGCCAGTGAAGTTAAAGTTCAAAGAGTTCTGCTAACATATGAGTTATTTTTAAAATATTTTGATAACCATGTTTGAACACCATAGGAGTTGATAGGTTTTGTCAGCTGCTCAAAGGGGTCCAAATAACAAGGTTATTCATGGTCACATCATGGTTTGTCTAAACCAGGGATGAAACGCTCCCGGTTCGGACCGGATCGCCAGATCCGGTAGCGATGGCGGCAGGTGGTTCGGAGAATCGGTAGCAAAAATCCTTGCCACCCCACCCCATGCCCAGCTGAGCTGCGCAATCATCAGAGGCTTTTTTTATTTTTAAAAACATTTTTTCTACAATCTCTTCAGCCAAAAAAATGCTTTTAAAAGTAAAAAAAAAGCCTCCAATGATTGCACGGCTCAGCTGGGATCGTCAGAGGCTTTTAAAAGAAAAAAAGCCTCTGACGCTCAGGCAACTCAGCTGGGATCGTCAGAGGCTTTTAAAGGCATTTTTAAAGAGGTTGTAGAAAAAATGCTTTTAAAAGCCTCTGACGATCCCAGCTGAGTTGCCTGACCGTCAGAGGCTTTTTTTTTCTTTTTTTTACTTTTAAAAGCATTTTTTTGGCCAAAGAGGTTGTAGGAAAAATGCTTTTAAAAGTAAAAAAAGAAAAAAGTTGGCCACACCCACCCAGTAACATTACCCCCAACCACCAAGCCATGCCCACAGAACCAGTAGTAACAAATTTTACATTTCACCACTGGTCTAAACCAGCTTCTTTTCTTTCCAGAGAGGTACCTCTGACTCTGAAGATGAGGAAGAATTGGTGAGTTTTCACGTTGATTTTTTTTCTCTTTGGAAAGGGGGCTCTTCTCCTTCCCACTTCCCAGTTAACCATTAGCAGGAGATCAATCCCATCGTTTGCTTAGCGCTTCTTGTTTTCGCTGTCCAAGAGGGAAACAGGATATTATTAACCTGGTGCTTTTTTTATTGTGCAATGTTGTCACGGGATGAACGACAACGGAGCAACAACGGAGAAAAGGTTTCAGCTCGGGCAAATCAAATCAAGGCATTTATGGCTTGTAAGGACGGAAGGAAAAAGGGAAGAGGAAAAAGTGTAATTAAGAGAAAAAGGAGAAAAAGAAAGAAAAGCATTGACTTCCGGCTCTTTTTTTTAGCGCAGTAAAATAAAATAACAACACGGCAACCGCAACTTTTTACTTTTGCATGATGCTGTACACTAGCCGTTTCTATAACAACACACCTATCTCGTCAGGCAAAACCCAAAATCAAAGTTTCGGGTTTTTTCCCCCACCTCAAGCACAAAGTCCAAAAGTGGTTTCCAAGTAGATTATACATTATAATTATAGAAATGTATATATCCTTCCCATAATCGGCTGTCCCTAGAAGACCATCTAACGGCCGTGACCAGGGGGGCCTTCGCACAGATTCGCCTGGTGCGCCAGTTGCGCCCTTTCCTGGACCGAGATGACCTTCGCACAGTCACTCATGCCCTGGTTACTTTCCGCTTGGATTACTGCAATTCCCTCTACATGGGCCTGCCCCTGAGATGCACCCGGAGACTCCAGCTGATCCAGAATGCAGCTGCACGGGTTGTTACGGGAGCCCCTCCTTACTCCCATATAACACCCCTCCTGCGTGAGCTGCACTGGTTACCAGTGGTTCTCCGGGTCCGCTTCAAGGTGCTAGTCCTCACCTATAAGGCCCTTCATGATTTAGGTCCAAGATATTTGCAGGACCTTCTCCTACCTGCCTCTCACCGTCCTGTTCGCTCACATAGGGCCGCTCTCCTCAGGGTTCTGACGGCGAGCCAATGTCGCCTTGCTGTGCCCAGGGGTAGGGCGTTCTCTGTGGGTGCTCCCACCCTCTGGAATGAATTACCTACTGAGCTCTGGACGGCTCCTGATCTCCGCTCCTTCCGTCGGGACTTAAAGACTTGGCTTTTCAAACAAATAGGCTGAGACTGATTCCGGACTTTATTATTTACTACTAATTAATTATTTGGATTAAATTATGATTTTATTGTACTTGTTTATTAACTTGTGTTCGCCGCCCTGAGTCCTTCGGGAGAATGGCGGCATATAAATACATGTAATAAATAAATAATAAATAAATCAAGTAGATGGTATACCTGCCATCGTCACTTGTTCTAAAATCTCCCTCTGGTTGGATCTCAGTTTTAATCATGTCAACAATAAAATTGCCAGGACAGGGATAATTCCTGGGACCGTATTTGGAATCCCAGCTCTTCCTTTGTTGATCCTTCCTGCCCTGTTTTCATCGTTTCAGCTTCTCGGTGATGACAAAATCATCCTCCACAGCTACAAGATCCAGTCCACCATCACGTCCCGCATGGCCAACACGATGGTCCAGACCAAAGTGGAAAACAGAGCCAAGCACTCGCAGAATCTGGTCTTCGATGTCCAGGTCCCCAAAGAGGCTTTTATCCACAATTTTACAATGTAAGTTGGAGCCAAACTAGTTCGTCCATTTAATTTTGTCATAGGCTGAATAGGTTCATCCTAGGCCCGTGAGGGCGAACCTATGGCATGTGTGCCACAGCTGGCACGCGTAGCTCTATTGGAGGGCACGCGAGCTCAGCTGCGGCGTGCATGTGCATGCTGGCCAGCTGATTTTCAGGCCTTCTGGGCCCACCAGAAGTAGGGAAACAGGCCGTTTCCTGCCTCCGGAGGGCCTCCTGGGGGGGTGGGGAAGGCCGTTTTCGCCCTCCCCAGACTCCTAGAAAGGCTCTGGAGCCTGGGGAGCGAGAAAAACGGGCCTACCGGGCCATCATGTGCCAGGAGTGGGGGGGAACGTGGGGGGGTTGCGTGTACATGCGTAGGGGCGGGACGCATAGAATTATGGATGTGGGCATGTGCATGCGTGACACCCCCCCCCTGCTGGCACATGATGGCAAAAAGGTTAGCCATCCCTGTCCTAGGCTAAGCGGGTTGGAGATTTGTACTTTCTAAATTGCAAGATTGATGTCAGCCTTCCCAGGTTAACCAGACAGGAAACACAACTAGATTATATATTATATATACATATAGACCTCTACTGTATTGTGTTGTATTGTGTTGCATTGCATTGCATTGCATTGCATTGCGGTCTATCCTGTTCTGTTCTGTTCTGTTCCATATTGTTCTGTTCCATTCCATTATGTTCCCATTCCATTCCATTATGTTCTATTCCGTTCTATTCTATATTGTTCTGTTCTGTTCTGTTCGTTCCGTTCCATTCTGTTCCATTCTGTTCCATTCTGTTCTATTCTGTTCTGTTCTGTTCTATATTGTTCTGTTCCATTCCATTATGTTCCCATTCCATTCCATTCTGTTCTATTCCGTTCTATTCTATATTGTTCTGTTCTGTTTTGTTCTGTTCCGTTCCATTCAATTCTGTTCCATTCCTGTTCCCTTCCCTTCCCTTCCATTCATTCCTAATTCCATCCCTTGTTCTGTTCTGTTCTGTTCCCATCTCACAAGTGACTGATCCTGGGTGCTGTTTTTGCTTCTTTTCTGTTCTACAGGAACGTCAACGGTATCACATTTACTAGTTCAATTAAGGAAAAATCAGCCGCTCGAAGTCAGTACGCCCAGGCGAGGGCCAAAGGCAAAGCTGCGGCAATCCTCAGGTGGGTAACCCTGGCTTCCTCTGTTCCCTTTGTCCTTGGAATTGAAGGGTTTATACTCCTTGTAGACAGCTGGTCATTTGCATCCTTTTAGAGAGTCGTTGAGGCCACCTGGAGGTTTATCTGTTTCCTCAGAGGTCACCTGAGTGGTGCAAATGGTTCCTCTAGTATGCAATTTTCCTGGAAATCCATTCCTACTCCCACACCGTTCGAAAGATGTCCAGCCCAAAATGCATGGCTAAAATCTATGAAGATGCTCAGTCCTCCAGGTCATGGTTGTCCCAAAGGTGCTTTCTTTCAGGAGGCGATTGGACTTCCTTTTTTTTTTTTCCTTTGAAGATGTTTCGCTTCTCACCCAAGAAGCTTCTTCAGTTCTAACTGAAGGGTGTAGGATGGATGAATAAACCTGCAAGTGGCCTCAACGACTCTCAGGAAGAGTGCTAATGACCAGACGATTCTGGTCTTTATTTTTTTATTTTTTATTTTTTAATTTGATTTATATGCCGCCCTTCTCCGGAGACTCAGGGCGGGTTACAATGCGTTAAGCAATAGCCTTCATACTTTTGTATATATTTTTATACAAAGTCAGCTTATTGCCCCCACAAACTGGGTCCTCATTTAACCTACCTTAGAAAGGATGGAAGGCTGAGTCAACCTTGAGCCTTGGAGAGATTCGAACCTGCTGTAATTGCAGGCAGCTGTGTTAATAACAGGGTGCTTTAAACCACTGTACTACCAAGGCTCCTCATTACTTTCATTACTCAATTGTAATTTTCATTACTCAATTGTACTTTAAGTACTCAATGGCGATTAGCTAAGGGGGTCGTTTGTTGTTGTTGTTTTATTTCAGCAAGGATAACAATTTGTGTCATTAATACAGGAGCAATGCTTTTGACATGGAGAACTTCAAAGCCGAACTCAACGTCCCAAGTGGAACCAAAGTCCAGTTTGAAATTTATTACCAAGAGTCCATCCGGAGGAAATTATCAACCTATGAGCATGTTATCCCAGTGCAGCCAGGAAGGCTGGCAAAACATTTGGAGGTAAAAGAAGAAGAAATGGCTGGAATAATTGATCTGAAATTTATTTATTTATTTATTTATTGGTTCGATTTATATGCCGCCCTTCTCCGGAGACTCAGGGCGGCTTATAATGCGTTAAGCAAATAGCCTTCATACTTTTGTATATACCTGCTTAGTAGGGCTTTCGCTCCCCCTCCCCTAAACGGTGTTCTTTTTTATACAAAGTCAGCTTATTGCCCCCACAATCTGGGTCCTCATTTTACCTACCTCGAAAGGATGGAAGGCTGAGTCAACCTTGAGCCTGGTGAGATTTGAACTCGCAGTAATTTCAGGCAGCTGGTGTTACTTAACAGTACTTTAATCTGCTGCGCCACCAAGGCTCAATAAATAAAAATAAATTCCCACCCCACTCCTGGGGGAAGGATATTGCAAAATCTCCATTTCCACCCCACTCTGGGACCAGCCAGAGGTGGTATTTGCCGGTTCGTCAAACTACTCAAAATTTCCGCTACCGGTTCTCCAGAACTTGTCAGAAGCTGCTGAATAGCACCCCTGATTTCCTCCAACTGATTGTACCGGAGATTCAGCAGGATCTTTGGGCCTACAGGCAGTCCTCGACTTACAACAGTTCATTGAGCGACCATTCAAAGTTACAACGGCACTGAAAAATGAAAAACCGATGACCGTTTTTCCACACTTACGACCTTTGCAGCATCCCCACGACTGTGTAATCAAAATTGGAGATGCTTGGAAACTGGTTCATACTTATGACCGTTGCTGTGTCCCGGGGTCAGGTGATCCTCTTTTACGACCTTCCGACAGGCACAGTCCATGGGGGAAGCCAGATTCACTTAACAACCGGGAAACTAATTTATCAACGGCAGTGATTCACTTGACAACTCTGGCGAGAAAAGTCGTAAAATGGGGCGAAACTCACTTCCCAAATGTCTCATCTAATAAGAGAAATTTTGGGCTCAATTGTGGGTCATAAGTCGAGGACTTCCTGTAATAGGTACCACCCTTGCTTAACAACCTATCACTTAGCGAGCAATTGACGTGATGGATTCTCCCAAAAGCTATTTACAACCTGGTTCTGGAGTTCCAATGGCGGTACACACACACACAATCACACAAGTGTATTTTGTGTGCTTGGCAGCTGCCTCGCTTTTACATCCATCATGTGACACAATTTGCAATAATTTGTTGCCTTGTCAGCCAGTTTCTGGCAAAAAAATGCCCAGAGAATTAAATTGACTCATTTAATGACCGTGGCATTCACTTAGCAACCACCACATTCACGTGACGACCGTGATGTTCACTGAACAACCGCTGCAAAAAATAAGATTGTAAAATCAGGAGTGCACACCTGGCAGTGAGCAGAGTTTGTCTGCAATTCTTCATTCAAACCATTGTATCACCAGGGCCCTTCCTTCCTTCCTTCCTTCCTTCCTTCCTTCCTTCCTTCCTTCCTTCCTTCCTTCCTTCCTTCCTTGTCTTCCTTCCTTCTTTCCCCCCTTCCTCCCTCCCTTTCCTCCCCTTCCTCCCTCCCTCTTTCTTTCCTCTCCTTCCTTCCTCCCTCCCTTTCTTCTCCTCCCTTCCTTCCTTCCTTCCTCCCTTTTCCTCTCCCTTTCCTCTCCTTCCTTCCTTCTTTCCTCCCTTCCTCCCTCCCTTTCCTCTCCTTCCTTCTTTCCTTCCTTCCTTCCTCCCTCCCTTTCCTCTCCTCCCTTCCTCCCTTCTTCCCTCCCTCCCTTTCCTCTCCCCCTTCCTTCTTTCCTTTCTTCCTTCCTCCCTTCTTCCCTTCCTTCCCTTCTTTCCTTCCTTCCTTCCTCCCTCCCTCCCTTTCCTCTCCTTCCTTCCTTCTTTCCTTCCTTCCTTCCTTTCTCCCTTCTTCCCTCCCTTTCCTCTCCTTCCTCCCTCCCTCCCTCCCTCCCTTTCCTCTCCTTCCTTCCTTCCTTCCTTCCTTCCTTCCTTCCTTCCTTCCTTCCTTCCATCCATCCATTGTAAAATCAGGTGGGTCACGTAGGTGCCTTGACTTACCACTGTGATGACTTATGATGAAAATTCCAGGTTCCATGAGACCTGTAGGCAGAGGTTTATCTTCAGACCTGTTTTCAGAAAAATACCATCCGATAGAGATCTTGTCATTTTTTCTGTTCTTCTGACGTTTTATTCTCTTCCATCCCACGGCCATAGGTTAATGTCCACATTATCGAACCACAGGGGATTAGTTTCGTCCACGTTCCTAACATCCTTGGTGAGCAGTTTACCGACGCAGTTACAGTCAACAAAGGAGAGAAAAAGGTAAAACTAATTATTCTTTGAGGGGGGAAAATGGGATTTGCAGCTATGACAACTTAATTCAAGCTGGTTTGGTAATTCAGCGAGAGGCCAAAAAAAAAATCAAGATGGTGTTTGCAAGCAATCTCGATTTTCTTTCTCCTTCCCCTTTACTCCGCAGATGCTCCTGGTTGTATTGGAGCAGAGAGACTTCATGTTAGCTTTGATTTTTCAGACTGAGTTTGAAATATCAATATGGGGATTCTCAAATCATCCAGCTCATAGTTGTCCTAAAGGTGGGTTTGTTTTTTTCAAAAGGCAACTGGACTTTCTTTTTCCTTGAAGACGTTTCGCTTCTCCTCCAAGAAGCTTCCTCATTTCTAACTGAAGGGTGGAAGATGGATGGATACGCCTCAAAGTGGCCTCAATGAGTCTCAGGAAGAGCACTAATGACCAGATGACTGCAAGGAATATAAATCCTTCCATTCTCCACCTTTCAGTCAGGACTGAAGAAGCTTCTTAGATGAGAAGTGAAATGTCTTCAAGGAAAAACAAACTCCACTTGCTTTTTGAAAAATACCGCATTCTAACCACTGTGCCACCAGGGCTGTTCCTTCGTTCCTTCCTTCCTTCCTTCCTTCCTTCCTTCCTTCCTTCCTTCCTTCAAATCAAATACCAAATAAATACAGAGATTACATAATGCATATGGATGGTGAACAAATAACGCCTAATACATATGAGGAAGTATTAAAACTCCCTCGTGAAGAAAAAGAAAAATGGGAACTAGCTATGAAAAAAGAGATGGAAAGTTTGCAAGGATTAAATGTATTCACACCTGCGATTGCACCTAAAGATAAAACAATTATTGGTACCAGGTGGATTTATAAAATTAAGAACCTAGAAGGAGGCAATACTCTATACAAAGCTAGATTGGTTGCACAAGGTTATGCACAAAAATATCCGGAGGACTATACTGACACGTACTCCCCCACAGTAAGAACAGAGAGTGTTAAAACAGCTCTAGTAGTAGCATCTGCACTCAATCTTGATGTATTTCAATATGACATACAGACTGCGTATCTACACGCAAAACTAGATAAAGAAATATATGTAAGAGCACCCCACAGTCAATACACTAATAAAAATGAAATTTGGCTATTGAACAAGAGTTTATACGGATTAAAGCAATCTGGCAAAAGATGGTACGATTGCTTGGTAAAAGTACTTAAGACCATGGATTTCAACGCTACCACTGCTGATAACTGTTTCTTTGTCAAAAAGAGTGATGATTACATTGAATTTGTATTGATTTATGTAGATGATATTTTATATATAGGAAAACACAAAGAGAGAAGAGAAATCTTTGTAAACAAGCTAAATGAACATTTCTCGTTGAAATCTCTAGGTAAAGTAAACAAATACCTTGGTGTACAAATTAACAAAACTAGAAGGGGATTCAAACTTACTCAGAAAGATAAGATTACTGAACTTCTAAACAAATGCAATTTAAACAATGCCAAACCCTGTGACACTCCTATGCAAACTGATTTCCTTAGAAATACTGATGAATCTTCCCCTGAATTCAAGGATAATACATTTTATAGATCAGTCATAGGTTCACTTCTATATATATCTAATTGGACTAGGCCAGATATTGCATTACCACTCAATTTATTATCAAGGCACGTTAGCAAACCAACAATGTATCACTGGGAAGCTGTCAAAAGAATTTTAAGATATCTGAAAAGTACATTAGATTTTTGCCTAGTATTAGAACCTAGTGATAATAAAGAACCAAAACTTACATGTTACGCAGATGCGGATTGGGCTGGAGATATATCATGCAGAAAAAGTACTTCTGGTTATATTTTTCTGTTAAATGACTGTCCAGTTTACTGGTACACTGGTAAACAAGAACTGGTAGCCACTTCAACCACAGAAGCGGAATATGTTTGTTTATCCAAAGCTGCAAATAACCTTGTATGGTTTAATGATTTAATTTCAGATGTTTGGAAAAAACCTGCTTTGCCTTTTGTTATGCATGAAGACAATAAAGCAGCCATTGAAATATCTAGATCCGATGCCATAGGACAAAGATCCAGGCATATAGATATAAAATTTAAGCATGTGAGACAATTGTCCCAAGATGGATTTATCAAAGCAGTGCATTGTGATACCTCTGAACAATTAGCTGACATATTGACGAAGCCTTTACCTTCTAAACAGCACAAATATTTAACTTCTAAATTGTATGTCTTATATTGTCCTGAATCTGAATGTAATTGGTGTTGTATAGCGAACCGGCATTTAGAGGGGGATTTGTCAGATGTAAATGCCTTATTCCCTAATGTGTAAATAATGTATATATGGGATATCAGGGGTTAACTTATTCTTTGACTCTTAATGTATTCATAATTCACACCACTCCCACTCTTGGCTCCACCCTTTGTATATATAAGGAGCCACCTTCACCATTTTCTCCGCTTCTATCTGTGAATATTCAGTGAATATAGAATGCCTATTATAATTAAAGAGAAATATATTTAAACCTCTAACTCTTATTATTATTATTGAGTCTGATCCTGAAAATATTGCAACATGGACAATGCGAACAGCCATATAGGTAATCCTCGACGTAGGACCACAATTGAGCCCCCCCCAAAATGATGTTGCTAAGTGAATTTTGCTCCGTTTTATGACTTTTCTTGCCACAGTTATTAAGTGAATCACTGCAGTGGTTAAGTTCAGTGGTGGGTTTCAAATTTTTTTATTACTGGTTCTGTGGTGTGGCATGGCTCAGGAGTGAAATCCAGCAGGTTCTGACAGGTTCTGGAGAACCGGTAGCGGAAATTTTGAGCAGTTCGGAGAACCGGCAAATACCACCTCTGGCTGGCCCCAGAGGGTGGTGGGAATGGAGATTTTGCAATATCCTTCCCCCAGGAGTGGGAGGGAATGGGGATTTTGCAGTATCCTTCCCCCAGGAGTGGGAGGGAATGGGATTTTGCAGTATCCTTCCCCCAGGAGTGAGAGGGAATGGAGATTTTGCAGTATCCTTCCCCCAGGAGTGGGAGGGAATGGAGATTTTGCAGTATCCTTCCCCTAGGAGTGGGGAGGGAATGGGGATTTTGCAGTATCCTTTCCCCAGGAATGGGAGGGAATGGGGATTTTGCAGTATCCTTCCCCCAGGAGTGGGGAGGGAATGGAGATTTTGCTATATCCTTCCCCAGGAGTGGGAGGGAATGGGGATTTTGCAGTATCCTTCCCCCAGGAGTGAGAGGGAATGGAGATTTTGCAGTATCCTTCCCCCAGGAGTGGGAGGGAATGGAGATTTTGCAGTATCCTTCCCCTAGGAGTGGGGAGGGAATGGGGATTTTGCAGTATCCTTCCCCCAAGAGTGGGAGGGAATGGGGATTTTGCAGTATCCTTCCCCAGAAGTGGGAGGGAATGGGGATTTTGCAGTATCCTTCCCCCAGGAGTGGGAGGGAATGGGGATTTTGCAGTATCCTTTCCCCAGGAATGGGAGGGAATGGGGATTTTGCAGTATCCTTCCCCCAGGAGTGGGAGGGAATGGGGATTTTGCAATATCCTTCCCCTGCCATGCCCACCAAGCCATGCCCACAGAACCGGTAGTAAAAAAACATTGGATTTCACCACTGGTTTTGCTTCTCATCCAAGAAGCTTCTTCAGCTCTGACTTAGATGGTGGGGAATTGAAGGGCTTATACTCCTTGTAGACAGCTGGTCATTTGCATCCTTTCAGAGAGTCGTTGAGGCCACCTGGAGGTTTATCTGTTTCCTCAGAGGTCACCTGAGTGGTGCAAATGGTTCCTCTAGTATGCAATTTTCCTGGAAATCCATTCCTACTCCCACACCGTTCGAAAGGTGTCCAGCCCAAAATGCATGGCTAAAATCTATGAAGATGCTCAGTCCTCCAGGTCATGGCTGTCCCAAAGGTTTTTTTTTTTTTTAATTTGATTTATATGCCGCCCTTCTCCGGAGACTCAGGGCGGCTTACAATGCGTTAAGCAATAGCCTTCATACTTTTGTATATTTTATACAAAGTCAGCTTATTGCCCCCACAAACTGGGCCCTCATTTCACCTACCTTAGAAAGGATGGAAGGCTGAGTCAACCTTGAGCCTTGGAGAGATTCGAACCAGCAGAAATTGCTGGCAGCTGTGTTAATGACAGGGTGCATTAAACCACTGTACTATCAAGGCTCTTTCTTTCAGGAGGCCATTGGACTTCCTTTTTTTTTTCTTTGAAGATGTTTCACTTCTCATCCAAGAAGCTTCTTCAGTTCTAACTGAAGGGTGTAGGATGGATGAATAAACCTGCAAGTAGCCTCAACAACTCTCAGGAAGAGTGCTAATGACCAGACGATTCTGGTCTTTATTTTTTTATTTTTTTATTTTTAATTTAATTCATATGCCGTCCTTCTCCGGAGACTCAGGGCGGCTTACAATGCGTTAAGCAATAGCCTTCATACTTTTGTATATATTTTTATACAAAGTCAGCTTATTGCCCCACAAACTGGGTCCTCATTTAACCTACCTTAGAAAGGATGGAAGGCTGAGTCAACCTTGAGCCTTGGAGAGATTCGAACCTGCTGTAATTGCAGGCAGCTGTGTTAATAACAGGGTGCTTTAAACCACTGTACTACCAAGGCTCCTCATTACTTTCATTACTCAATTGTAATTTTCATTACTCAATTGTACTTTAAGTACTCAATGGCGATTAGCTAAGGGGGTCGTTTGTTGTTGTTGTTTTATTTCAGCAAGGATAACAATTTGTGTCATTAATACAGGAGCAATGCTTTTGACATGGAGAACTTCAAAGCCGAACTCAACGTCCCAAGTGGAACCAAAGTCCAGTTTGAAATTTATTACCAAGAGTCCATCCGGAGGAAATTATCAACCTATGAGCATGTTATCCCAGTGCAGCCAGGAAGGCTGGCAAAACATTTGGAGGTAAAAGAAGAAGAAATGGCTGGAATAATTGATCTGAAATTTATTTATTTATTTATTTATTGGTTCGATTTATATGCCGCCCTTCTCCGGAGACTCAGGGCGGCTTACAATGCGTTAAACAATAGCCTTCATACTTTTGTATATACCTGCTTAGTAGGGCTTTCGCTCCCCCTCCCCTAAACGGTGTTCTTTTTTATACAAAGTCAGCTTATTGCCCCCACAATCCGGGTCCTCATTTTACCTACCTCGAAAGGATGGAAGGCTGAGTCAACCTTGAGCCTGGGGAGATTCGAACTCGCAGTAATTTCAGGCAGCTGGTGTTACTTAACAGTACTTTAATCTGCTGCGCCACCAAGGCTCAATAAATAAAAATAAATTCCCACCCCACTCCTGGGGGAAGGATATTGCAAAATCTCCATTCCCTCCTCACTCTGGGACCAGCCAGAGGTGGTATTTGCCGGTTCGTCGAACTACTCAAAATTTCCGCTACCGGTTCTCCAGAACTTGTCAGAAGCTGCTGAATAGCACCCCTGATTTCCTCCAACTGATTGTACCGGAGATTCAGCAGGATCTTTGGGCCTACAGGCAGTCCTCGACTTACAACAGTTCATTGAGCGACCATTCAAAGTTACAACGGCACTGAAAAATGAAAAACCGATGACCGTTTTTCCACACTTACGACCTTTGCAGCATCCCCACGACTGTGTAATCAAAATTGGAGATGCTTGGAAACTGGTTCATACTTATGACCGTTGCTGTGTCCCGGGGTCAGGTGATCCTCTTTTACGACCTTCCGACAGGCACAGTCCATGGGAGAAGCCAGATTCACTTAACAACCGGGAAACTAATTTATCAACGGCAGTGATTCACTTGACAACTCTGGCGAGAAAAAGTCGTAAAATGGGGCGAAACTCACTTCCCAAATGTCTCATCTATAAGAGAAATTTTGGGCTCAATTGTGGGTCGTAAGTCGAGGACTTCCTGTAATAGGTACCACCCTTGCTTAACAACCTATCACTTAGCGAGCAATTGACATTGTGATGGATTCTCCCAAAAGCTATTTACAACCTGGTTCTGGAGTTCCAATGGCGGTACACACACACACAATCACACAAGTGTATTTTGTGTGCTTGGCAGCTGCCTCGCTTTTACATCCATCATGTGACACAATTTGCAATAATTTGTTGCCTTGTCAGCCAGTTTCTGGCAAAAAAATGCCCAGAGAATTAAATTGACTCATTTAACGACCGTGGCATTCACTTAGCAACCAGCACATTCACGTGATGACTGTGATGTTCACTGAACAACCATTGCAAAAAATAAGGTTGTAAAATCAGGATTGCACACCTGGCAGTGAGCAGTTTGTCTGCAATTCTTCATTCTAACCATTGTATCACCAGGGCCCTTCCTTCCTTCCTTCCTTCCTTCCTTCCTTCCTTCCTTCCTTCCTTCCTTCCTTCCTTCCTTCCTTCCTTCTTTCCCCCCTTCCTCCCTCCCTTTCTTCTCCTTCCTCCCTCCCTCTTTCTTTCCTCTCCTTCCTTCCTCCCTCCCTTTCCTCTCCTTCCTTCTTTCCTTCCTTCCTTCCTCCATCCCTTTCCCCTCCTCCCTTCCTCCCTTCTTCCCTCCCTCCCTTTCCTCTCCCCCTTCCTTCTTTCCTTCCTTCCTTCCTTCCTTTCCTTCCTTCCTTCTTTCCCCCCTTCCTTCCTCCCTTTCCTCCCCTTCCTCCCTCCCTCTTTCTTTCCTCTCCTTCCTTCCTCCCTCCCTTTCTTCTCCTCCCTTCCTTCCTTCCTTCCTCCCTTTTCCTCTCCCTTTCCTCTCCTTCCTTCCTTCTTTCCTCCCTTCCTCCCTCCCTTTCCTCTCCTTCCTTCTTTCCTTCCTTCCTTCCTCCATCCCTTTCCTCTCCTCCCTTCCTCCCTCTTCTCCCTCCCTCCCTTTCCCTCCTCCTCCCCCTTCCTTTCTTTCCTTTCTTCCTTCCTCCCTTCTTCCCCCCTTTCCTTCTTTCCTTCCTTCCTCCCTCTCTCCCTTCCTCCTCTCTCCTCCCTTCCTTCCTTCCTTCTTCTTTCCTTCCTTCCTTCCTTTCTCCCTTCTTCCCTCCCTTTCCTCTCCTTCCTCCCTCCCTCCCTCCCTCCCTCCCTTCCTCCTCTCCTTCCTTCCTTCCTTCCTTCCTTCCTTCCTTCCTTCCTTCCTTCCTTCCATCCATCCATTGTAAAATCAGGTGGGTCAGGTAGGTGCCTTGACTTACCACTGTGATGACTTATGATGAAAATTCCAGGTTCCATGAGACCTGTAGGCAGAGGTTTATCTTCAGACCTGTTTTCAGAAAAATACCATCCGATAGAGATCTTGTCATTTTTTCTATTCTTCTGACGTTTTATTCTCTTCCATCCCACGGCCATAGGTTAATGTCCACATTATCGAACCACAGGGATTAGTTTCGTACACGTTCCTAACATCCTTGGTGAGCAGTTTACCGACGCAGTTACAGTCAACAAAGGAGAGAAAAAGGTAAAACTAATTATTCTTTGAGGGGGGAAAATGGGACTTGCAGCTATGACAACTTAATTCAAGCTGGTTTGGTAATTCAGCGAGAGGCCAAAAAAAAATCAAGATGGTGTTTGCAAGCAATCTCGATTTTCTTTCTCCTTCCCCTTTACTCCGCAGATGCTCCTGGTTGAATTGGAGCAAGAGACTTCATGTTAGCTTTGATTTTTCAGACCGAGTTTGAAATATCAATATGGGGATTCTCAAATCATCCAGCTCATAGTTGTCCTAAAGGTGGGTTTGTTTTTTTCAAAAGGCAACTAGACTTTCTTTTTCCTTGAAGACGTTTTGCTTCTCCTCCAAGAAGCTTCCTCATTTCTAACTGAAGGGTGGAAGATGGATGGATATGCCTCTAAGTGGCCTCAATGAGTCTTAGGAAGAGCACTAATGACCAGATGACTGCAAGGAATATAAATCCTTCCATTCTCCACCATTCAGTCAGGACTGAAGAAGCTTCTTAGATGAGAAGTGAAACGTCTTCAAGGAAAAACAAACTCTACTTGCTTTTTGAAAAATACCGCATTCTAACCACTGTGCCACCAGGGCTGTTCCTTCCTTCCTTCCTTCCTTCCTTCCTTCCTTCCTTCCTTCCTTCCTTCCTTCCTTCCCTCCTTCCTTCCTCCCTCCTCCCTCCCTCCCCCCCTCCCCTCCTTCCTTCCTTCCTTCCTTCCTTCCTTCCTTCCTTCCTTTGCAATAGCATTTAGACTTATATACCACTTTATAGTACTTTACAGCCCTCTCTAAGCAGTTTACGGTATCAGCACATTGCCCCCAACCATCTGGATCCTCATTTTACCGTACTGGGAAAGATTGAAAGTTGAGTCAACCTTGAGCCAGTGAGAATCGAACTGCCGGCAGTGAGCAGATTTGCCTGCAATCCTACAGTCTAAGTACTGTGCCACCAGGGCTCAATGGGGAAAGCTGGATTTGCTTAATAGCCGCATGATTCGCTTAAGAACAGCAAAGATTCACTTAGCAACATGGCAAAAAAGATCAGATAATCAAGTGCAACTCCTTTAACTACTGTCTTACTTAGCGTTCATTCTGATCTGGTCTCAGTTGTGTTTGTAAGGTGAGGACTATCTGTATATGTGAGGACTTTGCATTGCACTGAACAGGAAGTGTAAGTGAAAGGCACAACAGACGACTGCATAAATCAATGATGTTAGTCTCATAAATCTTATAGGTGGACATCCGGAGGAGGAAGGGCGAGATCATTGAAAATGGTTTGCCGAATGCAGATTTAACATTCAAATGTTGCTTGTAACTCATACAGGACAGTCCCCAAACTAAGGTGCCCTTAAACCAAGGGTGAAATGCTATCGGTTCACACCGGTTCGGACGAACCAGCTGCTGTGGGTGGTTCGGCGAACCGGTAGCGGCAGCAGCGCGAGGCTCCGCCCAGCCGCCCCGGACGCTGTTACTTCCTGGTTTTAACCAGGAAGTAACCTGTTTTTGACCATCTGTGCGTGCGCAGAAGGCTTTGCGCATGTGCAGAGGGTCCAAAATCGCACGTGACATGCACACGTGCTTCCGAACTGGTAGGGAAGATAAGTAGATTTCACCCCTGCCTTAAACCCTTGCCTCACTTTATCTGTTCTCTTTGCACTTTAAGGCACACGTGTCCTTCAAACCGAGCCTGGCCCAGCAACGGAAGTGCTCCAATTGCACCACCACAGCTGTGGAGGGCAACCTTGTGGTGACCTATGATGTCAACAGGGATACGAAAGCTGGAGAGCTGGAGGTGCTTTGCTAAAGGTCTTGGGGGGCTTGGAGAGGAGGATCCAGGGAGATCTGCCACCGGGGGTAGGCCAAGAGATGCAAGGCCGAGGGGAGAGTGCCCATAATTGGTGTAACAAGTAACTTGTGTTATTTTAAGTGCCGTCCCTCTGCTACCATTCTGAGAATTTTTTTCAAGAAGTCATTCACAGGGAGGGAGGGAAGGAAGGAAGGAGGGAGGGAGGAAGGGAAGGAAGGAAGGAAGGAGGGAGGGAGGGAGGGAGGGAGGGAAGGAAGGAAGGAGTAAGGAAGAAAGGGAGGGAGGGAGGAAAGGAAGGAAGAAAGGAAGGAAGGAGGGAGGGAATGAAGGAAGGAAGGAGGGAGGGAAGGAGGGAAGGAAAGAAGGGGAGGGAGGGAAGGAAGGAAGGAGGGAGGGAAGGAAGGAAAGAAGAAAGGAAGGAAGGAGGGAGGGAAGGAAGGAAGGAGGGAGGGAAGGAAGAAAGGAAGGAGGGAGGAAAGGAAGGAAGGAAGAAAAGAAGGAAGAAGGGAGGGAAGGAGGGAAGGAAAGAAGGAGGGAGGGAGGAAAGAAAGGAGGGTGGGTGGGTGGGGGAGAGGGAGGGAGGGAGGGAGGGAGGGAAGGAAGGAAGGAAGGAAGGAAGGAAAGAAGGAAGGAAGGAAGGAAGGAAGGAAGGAAGGAAGGAAGGAAGGAAGGAAGGAAGGAAGGAAGGAAACCTACATACAGACATATGCGAAGGATTCTTCTCCTCAGGAAACTCCAGGTTTTAGGGTTCTTTCAGAAATTCATTGGTAAGGAACTCTGTCCTTCTAACCTTGTTTTTCCAGGTCTTCAATGGGTATTTTGTCCACTACTTCGCTCCAGATAACTTGGATCCTCTGCCGAAAAACATCCTGTTTGTCATCGACGTCAGCGGCTCCATGTGGGGAATAAAAATGAAACAGGTGAATGCAAAGGCCCAGGAAGAGATGAAATCCCTGCATGTAAAGTCTAGATAATCCTAAAACTCTTTCTCCCTCCCCCTCCCTCTCCCTCTCTCCCTTCTTCTCCTTCTCTCCCTCTCCCTTCTTCCCTCTCTCCTTCTCTTCCCCCTCCCTTTCCCTCCCTCTCCCTCTCTCCCCATCTCTCCCCCCCTCCCTCTCTCCCTCTCCCTCTATCCCTCTCTTTCTCTCTCTCTCTCTCTCTCTCTCTCCTTCCCTCAGGGGCTGGACAATACAATTGGAGGTGTGGTTCAGGTTTAGGTCACACCATAAGAACCTCCTCCAGCTTATGCAGGTAGTCCTCGATTTACGACCACAATTGAACCCATCATATCCATTCCTAAGTGAGGCATTTAAGTGAGTTGTGCCCCATTTTACGACCTTTCTTGCCACAGTTGTTAAGCGAATCACTGCAGTTAAGTTAGTGACACGGCTATTGAGTGAATCTGGATTCCCCCTTGACTTTGCCGGTCGCAAAAGGGGATCACGTGACCCCGTTGTAACTGTGAGCCAGTTGCCAAGCATCTGAATGTTGAACATGTGACCACGGGGATGCTCCAATGGTCATAACAGTGAAAAATGATCATTCTTTTCCAGTGCCGTCGTAACTTTGAATGGTCGCTAAGT